ATGTTATAGTTACTGTTAATTGTCTGAACATTACCAGTGGGGTTACTATGTCGTCTGAGACCTACAGGTACTGTACAATATCTATATATCATGTTATAGTTACTGTTAATTGTCTGAACATTACCAGTGGGATTACTATGTGGTCTGAGGCTTACAGGTACTGTACAATATCTATATATTATATTATAGTTACTGTTAATAGTCTGAACATTACCAGTGGGGTTACTATGTGGTCTGAGGCCTATGGTCCAAATTTTGTGGAGGGATTGTTCAATTTGGATGCTCAAGGAAAAACTTTGTCATTTAAAAATAAGAAAACATTTACTTTACTCAAAGAATAATTGATATCTGGAATGGTCTCCAACAGGGTGTTACTGTATCTCGTAACGAATTTGATTTTGAGAAAAACTTCTGGAATGTTGAAGTACGTAAGATCATAAAGCGTTTTATACACATTGTGTTTCAAATTATATTGATGTGGATATAGAGGCAGCAATCCACTAATATCCTATTCAATCCTATTTAAAATCAACCATACCAAAAAAACAAAAGGTATTATAACGCTGTTTTTTACTGCTGTTGTTGGTTAAAAACAGCAGGTGAACGAATACAAGAACAATCTGACAGACTGACGGATCCTGAATCACGAACGATCTGAACGGGTCCGCATCATGTGAAGGATGACTAAAACACTAACTATAGATAATATTGAATACTTATATACATGAATGGTAATGAGGTGAGAAAGCCGACCTGCTCAAACGATGTGACAACAGGAGGTAATCACCCCGTCATTTACATCAACAGACTGCATTCACATGTAATTATATCAAATATTGGGTATAGGTACGCAAGCAGAATTCATGGAATACAAACATCTATGAAATAGCAAGTAATGCATTTTCATAAATTTGCAAGGAATCGATATGCAGTTTTCAAACTTCCCATGTCTGTTTATGTTTATTCATAATGCTAGAGTATATTGTTAAACAGGTCACATGTCTTATTCTCTGTTGATGAAAGTGTTAAAAATGCAAAGGAAATGTATGAAAAGAAACATTCTGTTAAATTAAAAGTTTTTGCAGGTTGGTAACATTAGAGTTTTTGCATTGTGTAAATTAGCATAAATATCTATCTATAGATTATATAGAATTAGGTTATATAGAATATAGAGAAACCAGAATCATTACCATAGTAACGATATCAATACATGGACATTTCCACTAGTAACAGTAATTCCTTTATTGTAAAATAAATGTTGAAAAAGTTTCCAGAAATTATGTTTTTTGACAGGAAGTAGTAGAAGCAGGTGACACTCAGAGACAGGTGGTTAATATAGACAGGATATAGTTACTGTGCAGTCACCATAGCAATTCAAAGTGTATTCAGTTACATCAGGTACATCAGTTACATCATTTACAAAAACTAGAACACTGACAGGTCAGTAAGGGCCCCGTCTTGTAGCAATATATCCCCCAAAATCATCAAGAAGCAATCTGCCCATATAGCTGAGCTTGACATTTGACATTTGGACTTCAAAAATAATGGCAAGGAAGCAAAATATACATTTTACATGTAATATGATGTGAGTCTTGTTTCCTTCCACTTTCATATTTGCTGGGCTAACAGAAATGTAAATACCGGTCCAATACTCATTTGTTAGCTTTTATTTCACCTTATATACCTCCTCCATCAAGAGCCAGTGTCAAAGTCAGAGATCCACTTTGAATTTGACCTTTGGACCCCAAATGACCTTGACCATTAACCCAGTTACCCTGATATTTGGTCAGTTGACTTATTCTTTAATTCCGACCAACTTTGCTTCTAAATATCATAACAAAATGTAAATCAGTAAAAAATACAAAACTTGACCTTGACCCTTTGAACCCCATAACCTGGACCTAAGGTCAGTTGAATCTGTGTTAAGTTCTGAACATTATTGCTTCATAATAACATAACAAAATGTTCATCAGAGAAAAGGTACAAAATTTAACCTTCACCTTTGGCCCAGTGACCTTGACCTTTGGTCAATTGACTCCTTGTTTAATTCTGAGCAACATTGCTTCAAAGTGTCATAGCGAAATGTTCACCAGTAAAAAGATACAAAATTTAACCTTGACGTTTGACCCAATGACCTTGACCTTTGGTCAGTTGACTCCTTGTTTAATTCTGATCAACTTGACATCAACTTTTTACCTAAGTGTGTCTCTTTGTTTAATTCCAAACAATTTTGCTTCATAATGTTATAGCGAAATGTTCACCAGTGAAAATCTACAAAATTTGACCTTGAACCCTGACCGATGACCTTAACCTTTGGTCAGTTGACTCCTTGTTTAATTCTGATCAACTTTGCTTCATAATGTCATAACAAAATGTTCATCAGTGAAAATATGTAAAATTTGACCTTGACCTTTGAACCTAATGACCTTAACCTTTGACCTTGACTTTTTACCTCAATGTGTATTTTTGTAAACTGAACATGTTGACAAAGTTTCATATACATCGGTCAATAAATACTAAAGTTATCAGCCAGGAACAAAATGTGTGGACCCTAATTATGCATCTTTTTAATGCCAGTATATAAATACTGGTAACAATTATCACTGATCTATATGTGGTCTTAGTAATAGTCTGCTAATAGTATTACAGATCCCGCTCCTACTTAATCATCATGCTCCTGTTTAATCAGCACGTAAATCTACTGTTACAGGTTATGATAAAACGGCAAGCAGGTAACCCAGAAGTCATATTCCTCCGTCTGCTGAACAGCAACATTGACAGGTTAAATACATTTAGACAAGTTCAAATTCTTTATTACTTTTAGCTTAACAGCTGAAACAGTTACACAAAGTGACTCATACTGGAATATTTTTCAAAATACTGTTAGAGTGATACATATTGGATGGTGTTTCAAATACTGTTATAAAGTGATACACATTGGATAGTGTGTCAAATACTGTTACAAAGTGATACACATTGGATAGTGTGTCAAATACTGTTATAAAGTGATACGCATTGGATGGTGTTTCAAATACTGTTATAAAGTGATACACATTGGATGGTGTTTCAAATACTGTTATAAAGTGATACACATTAGATAGTGTGTCAAATACTGTTATAAAGTGATACACATTGGATAGTGTATTACTGTCACACAGAGGAACACATTGAATAGTGTATTACTGTCTCACAGAGGAACACATTGAATAGTGTATTACTGTCACACAGAGGAACACATTGGATAGTGTATTACTGTCACACAGAGGAACACATTAATAGTGTATTACTGTCACACAGAAGAACACATTGGATAGTGTATTACTGTCACACAGAGGAACACATTAAATAGTGTATTACTGTCTCACAGAGGAACACATTGGATAGTGTATTACTGTCACACAGAGGAACACATTAAATAGTGTATTACTGTCACACAGAGGAACACATTGGATAGTGTATTACTGTCTCACAGAGGAACACATTGGATAGTGTATTACTGTCACACAGAGGAACACATTAATAGTGTATTACTGTCACACAGAAGAACACATTGGATAGTGTATTACTGTCACACAGAGGAACACATTAAATAGTGTATTACTGTCACACAGAGGAACACATTAAATAGTGTATTACTGTCTCACAGAGGAACACATTGGATAGTGTATTACTGTCACACAGAGGAACACATTAAATAGTGTATTACTGTCTCACAGAGGAACACATTGGATAGTGTATTACTGTCACACAGAGGAACACATTAAATAGTGTATTACTGTCTCACAGAGGAACACATTGGATAGTGTATTACTGTCACACAGAGGAACACATTGAATAGTGTATTACTGTCACACAGAGGAACACATTGGATAGTGTATTACTGTCTCACAGAGGAACACATTGGATAGTGTATTACTGTCACACAGAGGAACACATTGAATAGTGTATTACTGTCACACAGAGGAACACATTGGATAGTGTATTACTGTCACACAGAGGAACACATTGGATAGTGTATTACTGTCACACAGAGGAACACATTAAATAGTGTATTACTGTCACACAGAGGAACACATTGGATAGTGTATTACTGTCACACAGAGGAACACATTGGATAGTGTATTACTGTCACACAGAGGAACACATTAAATAGTGTATTACTGTCACACAGAGGAACACATTGGATAGTGTATTACTGTCACACAGAGGAACACATTGGATAGTGTATTACTGTCACACAGAGGAACACATTAAATAGTGTATTACTGTCACACAGAGGAATACATTGGATAGTGTATTACTGTAACACAGAGGAACACATTGGATAGTGTATTACTGTTACACAGAGGAACACATTAAATAGTGTATTACTGTCACACAGAAGAACACATTGGATAGTGTATTACTGTCACACAGAGGAACACATTGGATAGTGTATTACTTTCACACAGTGGAACACATTGGATAGTGTATTACTGTAACACAGAAGAATACATTGGATAGTGTATTACTGTAACACAAAAGAACACATTGGATAGTGTATTACTGTCACACAGAGGAACACATCGGATAGTACATGAGATATTTTTACATTTGGCAACAGCTAACTTAGCACAGACTTCCACCTGACAACAGCCATGAGTACTAGCTTATCAGTGAACACCTCTCAAGGGACTAACATGTCCCTTCTGTTCAATGCTAGCCTTCAGGATAACTCTACTTTTTCCGATGATGGATCCTGGATGCGGGAGTGTCACACGCTGTACTGTATCCTCGTCACACGTTACCGAAACTCCATGTACCAGTCTCTTCTTACCCTGTCATCTCTCCTCGCTGTCATCGGATTCCTTGGTGTCGTTGGCAACAGTGTGGTCATCCTCGTGTTTGTGCGCACCTCGTCCAAGCACACATCAATGTACTTCATGTTGATGCTGGCGATCATGGACCTCATGGTGTGTATGTTAGTCATTCCATATGTCATCATCACGCAATGGAGAACAACTGTCAAGTATGATGCGGTGTGTAAAATCTTCGAGATGCTGAGGTATTTCTCCATACCAACGTCTGTAATGGTATTGGTGGCCATTTCCTGTGACCGATACATTCTGATATGCACACCACCAAGTACACGTATGACAAAGTTGGTGTCTAAGGTTGTTATTGGTGTGATCCTGGCCATAGGGGTGATGTTCAGTATTCCACCAATCCTGGGTATAGGCGTGTATGCCACTGACTATAGTGGTAATCAGTTATATATTGGATACTGCGTACCCAATGACCAGTACATCACACCCCACGGACTGGACATCTATTGGTATGTTGTCACCGCAGCCTTCAGTCTCATGATCCTCATCATCTTCACCATGTACACCCTCATCTTTATACGGCTGTACAAACAGAACAGGAAGTGGCTGTTACGCATGCCCAAGGTACACCCCGAGCGTCTAGAGAGCATCGAGGATGACAACAACTCCATGCTTGGTGAGAGGAAGAGGAGTAGCTTCCCAGCATCCAATCATCCATCGTCGAGCAAGGAAATCATCAGTTTATCCACCCTGAAACACCTGGTCCCTAACCTGCCCGCCACCATATTCGAGGATAACATGGCACCAAACCAAACAGTCCAGAACACGCCCTCGCTCTCATTCGATGATCAACGCTCTGTCATGACTTCTGCATCCTTGAAACGCTCCCAGAGTGAATTGTTAGACCTACAGCATAAGAGTACATTGGAGAAGCGTACCTCTTTGGATGTTAACAAACTTCACCGTCTGAAGGAGACTAGAACCAAACCTAAACCAGGGCCGTCAAACAATCTCATTCAGCGCACCATGCACACCGCTAATTATGTGTCCCGCAAAATGAGCAACACCTCCCAGGATTACCGACTGGACACAACTGATAATTCTCAGTCGAAATGGAATTCCATTAGGGCTTCAGTCCTGAGCGGCACAATGTCAATGAACTTTGTGTCTAAATTCAGACGAACTTCCAATGTTGTCATCCCCAAGCGAAACACTACGTTCAATAGCCAGAAGACAAAACGCCCGATGCACATCAAGACAACACAAGTTCTATTTATAGTAACCCTTGTATATGTGATATCGTTCCTTCCCACATTCCTTATGTCAAATAATGTGATCCCGAATCATCGAGTCATCTATTACCTGTATTTCATCAACAATGCCTCTAATCCAATCATTTACTCCTTCATGAACCAGAGGTTTAGGAAGGAGGTCGCAAAGCTCTTTTGTAGTAAGTAAACACAAAAAAATAGTGTATTTATTCTTGTCTTATTATCGAAGAATAATTATAGGATAAAAACAAAAGGCCTAGAGAACCAGTATTGCTCACCTGGATTTATGAATGATGGAAAAATATTTTATGAAACGTAATATAACAAATTGTCTCAATTTTGGTTGAAATCAATATATATGCGTTAATGGTTTTAGGATTATTATTATGACCCTGAGAAGTCAACAAGGGTGGGGTCAGACCCAGGAGAAAAACTCAGTTGCATGATTGTAAAGTTATTGGGCGAAGTGAGCTAAAATACCAAAACCATTACTGAATGAGTCTAACATGAACTTTGTGTTGGAATGATAACCTTCAATCATATCTCATGTTGTAAATATACTTCTGTACAAATAGTCACCAGCGATCAATAATGAACAGAACTAATGAACACACAAAAAATAACATTCCATACATCTCTAATCATAACTTCACTCTTATACCATTGTGCATGTATATATCTCCAAGTTGCATTTCAGTCATCTGTACCCTAGATCTTATCTTTCTACCCCAAAGTCACATGTACCAAAGATCTTTACTTTGTACCACAATATCACATGTACCCAAGATCTTAACTTTGTACCACACTGTCACATGTAACATACATCTTAACTTTGTACCACAATGTCACATTTACCATACATCTTAACTTTGTACCACAAAGTCACATGAACCCAAGATCTTTACTTTGTACTATTGTCACATGTACCCAAGATCTTAACTTTGTACCAATGTCACATATACCCTAGATTTTAACTTTGTATCACAAAGTCACATGAACCCAAGATCTTTACTTTGTACAACAGTTTCACATGTAACCTAGATCTTAACTTTGTACCACAATGTCACATGTACCCTAGATCTTATCTTTCTACCACACTGTCACATGAAACATACATCTTAACATGGTACCACAATATCACATGTACCCTAGATCTTAACTTTGTACCACAATATCACATGTACCCAAGATCTTTACTTTGTACCACAATGTCACATGTACCATATATCTTAACTTTGTACCATAATGTCACATGTAACATACATCTTAACTTTGTACCACAAAGTCACATGGACCCAAGATCTTTACTTTGTACTATTGTCACATGTACCCAAGATCTTAACTTTGTACCACAAAGTCACATGAACCCTAGATCTTAACTTTGTACCACAGTATCACATGAACTCTAGATCTTAACTTTGTACCACAATATCACATGTACCCAAGATCTTAACTTTGTACCACAATGTCACATGGACCATATATCTTAACTTTGTACCACAATGTCACATGTAACATACATCTTAACTTTGTACCACAATGTCACATTTACCATATATCTTAACTTTGTACCACAATGTCACATGTAACATACATCTTAACTTTGTACCACTGTCACATATACCCTAGATTTTAACTTTGTATCACAAAGTCACATGAGCCCAAGATCTTTACTTGTACCACAATGTCACATGTACCATATATCTTAACTTTGTACCACAATGTCACATGTAACATACATCTTAACTTTGTACCAATGTCACATATACCCTAGATTTTAACTTTGTATCACAAAGTCACATGAACCCAAGATCTTTACTTGTACCACAATGTCACATGTACCATATATCTTAACTTTGTACCACGATGTCACATGTAACATACATCTTAACTTTGTACCACAATGTCACATTTACCATACATCTTAACTTTGTACCACAATGTCACATGTACTCTTACTACAAAGTCACATGTACCTTAGATCCTTATTTTGTATCACAATGTCACATTTACCCAAGATCTTCATTTTGTACCACAATGTCACATGTACCCTAGATCCTAACTTTGTACCACAGTATCACATGTACCCAAGATCTTAACTTTGTACCACAATGGCACATGTAACCTAGATCTTAACTTTGTACCATTGTCACATGTACCAAATATCTTAACTTTGTACCGAAATGTCACATGTACCAAAGATCTTAACTTTGTACCACAATATCACATGAACTCTAGATCTGAACTTTGTACCACAATGTCACATGTACCATATATCTTAACTTTGTACCACAATGTCACATGTACCCTAGATCTTAACTTTGTACCACAATATCACATGTACCCTAGATCTTAACTTTGTACCACAATACCACATGTACCCTAGATCTTAACTTTGTACCACACTGTCACATGTACCCTACATCTTAACTTTGTACCACAATGACACATGTACCCTAGATCTTAACTTTGTACCACAATGTCACATGTACCCTAGACCTTAACTTTGTACCACAATGTCACATGGACCCTAGACCTTAACTTTGTACCACAATGGCACATGTACCCTAGACCTTAACTTTATATCATTGTCACATGTACCCAAGATCTTAACTATGTACCATTGTCACATGTACCCTAGATTTTAACTTTGTACCACACTGTTACATGTACCCTATATCTGAACTTTGTACCACACTGTTACATGTTCCCTAGATCTGAACTTTATATCATTGTCACATGTACCCTAGATCTTAACTTTGTACCATTGTTACATGTAACCAAGATATTAACTTCGTACAATTATCACATGTACCCTAGATATTAACTTTGAACCACATTGTCACATGTACCCTAGATCTTAACTTAGTATCACAATGGCACATGTACTCTAGATCTTAACTTTGTATCACAATGTCACATGTAACCTAGATCTTAACTTTGTACCACAATGACACATGTACCCAAGATCTGAACTTTGTACCACAATGTCACATGTACCCAAGATCTTAATTTTGTACCACAATTTCACATGTACCCAAGATCTTAATTTTGTACCATAATGTCACATGTACCAAATATCTTAACATTGTACCATTGTCACATGTACTCTAGATCTTAACTTTGTACCACAATATCACATGTACCCTAGATCTTAACTTTGTACCACAATATCACTTGTACCCTAGATCTTTACTCTGTATGGGTTGTATATATATATATATGTTGTACTTCTTTGTCTTATCTACATCAGAGGGTAGTTATTTGTTCAGTCAATGTGAACAAGACCTTATTATGTATGAGAGGGTAGTGATCTTTTCAGTCAATGGGAACAAGACCCTATCATATATGAGAGGGTAGTTATTTGTTCAGTCAATCTGAACAAGACCCTATTATGAATGAGAGGGTAGTGATCTGTTCAGTCAATGGGAACAAGACCCTATTATATATGAGAGGGTAGTTATTTGTTCAGTCAATGTGAACAAGACCCTATTATGTATGAGAGGGTAGTGATCTGTTCAGTCAATGGGAAGAAGACCCTATTATATATGAGAGGGTAGTTATTTGTTCAGTCAATCTGAACAAGACCCTATTATGTATGAGAGGGTAGTGATCTGTTCAGTCCATGTGAACAAGACCCTATTATGAATGAGAGGGGAGTGATCTGTTCAGTCAATGGGAAGAAGGCCCTATTATATATGAGAGGGTAGTGATCTGTTCAGTCAATGGGAACAAGACCCTATTATGTATGAGAGGGGTGTGATCTCTTCAGTCAATATGAACAAGACCCTATTATGAATGAGAGGGTAGTGATCTGTTCAGTCATTGTGAACAAGACCCTTATGTATGAGAGGGTAGTGATCTGTTGAGTCAATGGGAACAAGACCCTATTATGAATAAGAGGGGTGTGATCTGTTCAGTCAATGTGAACAAGACCCTATTATGAATGAGAGGGGAGTGATCTGTTCAGTCAATGTGAACAAGACCCTTATGTATGAGAGGGTAGTGATCTGTTGAGTCAATGGGAACAAGACCCTATTATGAATGACAGGGTAGTGATCTGTTCAGTCAATGGGAAGAAGACCCTTATGTATGAGAGGGTAGTGATCTGTTCAGTCAATGGGAAGAAGACCCTTATGTATGAGAGGGTAGTGATCTGTTCAGTCAATGGGAACAAGACCCTATTATGAATGAGAGGGGTGTGATCTGTTCAGTCAATGTGAACAGGACCCTATTATGAATGAGAGGGTAGTGATCTGTTCAGTCAATGTGAACAAGACCCTTATGTATGAGAGGGTAGTGATCTGTTCAGTCAATGGGAACAAGACCCTATTATGAATGAGAGGGGTGTGATGTGTTCAGTCAATGTGAACAAGACCCTATTATGTATGAGAGGGTGGCGAGTTAAACAATGCTGCTATATTCGTTTACAGCAAAGAAATTATACTGAACTTTGATAGGATTGTAACTTCTTGTATTTTCAATATTTGTTTTACTTATTGTTTAAGAGTACCCTGTAAATATAATTTATCCTAATAAATGTGATTTGAAAAGAAATGGAGTTGATGCTTTTATAATGTGATTGTTTGCTTGTGTGAAAATCTGTACATCAGATAGTAGAACAACCTGATCAGTGGCTGCTTGATAGTGGGACAATAATGTACCAGGTAAAGTTAGTCAATCTGTGCCCTTAAATACTGATTGGATGGTGGGAGAACCAGATAGTTTTGGATGGACTAGCGAGACTAGATAATGGGACAGCCAGATAGTTTTGGAAGGACTAGCGAGACTAGATAATGGGACAGCCAGAAAGTTTTGGATGGACTAGCGAGACTAGATAATGTGACAGCCAGATAGTTTTGGATGGACTGGCGAGACTAGATAGTGGGACAGCCAGATAGTTTTGGATGGACTAGTGAGACTAGATAATGGCTCAGCTAGATAGTTTTGGATGGACTGGCGAGACTAGATAATGGGACAGCCAGATAGTTTTGGATGGACTGGCGAGACTAGATAATGGAACAGCCAGATTAGTGGTTGTTATGTCCAGTCATTATCCATTACACAGTGGAAGCTTGACTAACAATAACACGGCTCATCATCTCTGTTCCCCTGGACATGTAACTGCTATGAATGTTTCTGATTGTTCTGCTCTTCTACTAATTTCTAAAAATAGTAACAGTGACCAAGACCTTAAATATATAAACCGGAAAGGAGAAAGTGTTCAAGGCATTGCCATACCAAACACTTGTATCAAGTTTCATGAAATTCCATTGAGAAAAGTCGATAGAGCGATGAAAATGTTTTTTTTTTAAATAGTTAAAGTGACCTTGACCTTTAACGCAGTAACTCAAAATGTGAACTTGTTCAAGGTATTGTCATACCAAACACTTGTATCAAGTTTCATGACATTCTGTTGAGGAATGAAGTCGGTAAAGCAATGACTAACTTTTTCTAAAAATAATTACAGTGACCTTGACCTTGAACATAGCAGTTTCATGAAATTCTGTTGAGGAATGAAGTTGCTAGAGCTATGACAATGAGTGTACTTTCGTATGTACGAGCGGAATCCTATATCCCCTCGAACTTTTGTTGCGAGGGGATAATAGGTAGTAATTAACTATTACCGGTAATAAGGAAAACCAATCACTAGCATTTATATAATTTATACCAATGGCAGATGAAGAAAGCAGCAAAGCATTATAAATATGAAAAGTTTAAAATTCAGAAACATGTAAATTTGTAAAGCATCAGAGCTTTCATTTTCATTCTTTACACACTTTGACAATGAGAACAAAATACATTTTAATACATATATGTATATATATGTATATACATATCACTTTATTGACAATAATCCTCATGAAGAAAATGGTTACAAACAATTAAATTGAATTCTGTCTTTGGTATAAAATCACAGCAACTGTTGAAATTTTTCACCAGATGCATGAAAATGCTTAATTATTTTAAAATACCACAGTTAGTGTAATATTTGAATGTATCAAATTAGGAATAAGAGCCCAATATCAGTTTGTTACAATATCACAGAATCTGTTTAGAGAGTCACAGTCCTAAAAATCAGAAGGCTGAGATGGTCAGACTTTCGTCATTTAACACTGCATATATATGCCTTGGTCTTGTAACTTTCGTGTAGCCCCACGTGGAGCTCGCATATCAGGATGTGTTTTCTCAACGTCAATGGACCATTCAATATTAATTGGAACCCACAGTCTATCGATTTTACACCAATTAAAGCATCTACTGTCGTCTATAGCTTGTGATATTTCAAATTTGCCTTGACAACTTAGACAAACACAATGGCTTGCAGTCGTACAGTGCGCTGAACTGTGTCAGCCACAATACACAAGTGAGTGGACAGTCATACAGTGCGCTGAACTGTGTCAGCCACAATACACAAGTGAGTGGACAGTCGTACAGTGCACTGAACTGTGTCAGCCACAATACACAAGTGAGTGGACTTTCATAAAGGGCGCTGAACTGTGTCAGCCACAATACACAAGTGAGTGGACAGTCGTCCAGTGCGCTGAACTGTGTCAGCCACAATACACAAGTGAGTGGACATTCGTACAGGGCGCTGAACTGTGTCAGCCACAATACACAAGTGACTGGACAGTCGTACGGGGCTCTGAACTGTATCAGCCACAATACACAAGTGAGTGGACTTTCATACAGGGCGCTGAACTGTGTCAGCCACAATACACAAGTGAGTGGACAGTCGTACAGTGCGCTGAACTGTGTAAGCCACAATACACAAGTGAGTGGACAGTCGTACAAGGCGCTGAACTGTGTCAGCCACAATACACAAGTGAGTGGACAGTCATACAGTGCGCTGAACTGTCTCAGCCACAATACACAAGTGACTGGACAGTCATACAGTGCGCTGAACTGTGTCAGCCACAATACTTAAGTGAGTGGACAGTCATACAGTGCCCTGAACTGTGTCAGCCACAATACACAAGTGACTGGACAGTCGTACAGTGCACTGAACTGTGTCAGCCACAATACTTAAGTGAGTGGACAGTCATACAGTGCGCTGAACTGTGTCAGCCACAATACACAAGTGACTGGACAGTCGTACAGGGCTCTGAACTGTATCAGCCACAATACACAAGTGAGTGGACAGTCGTACAGTGCACTGAACTGTGTCAGCCACAATACACAAGTGAGTGGACAGACTGTTTTCTGGGACAAATTTGCAGATTGTCTTCTTTTTCTTTACGCTAGTACCCAGTTAAAACCAAAAATGGACTATGGCTACTTTTGCTACCGACAGCGTGACCCTAGGTCAGAGAAATACAAACTACGACTTGACCTAAAAAAAGCAAGCACATGGTTCCGGCGAAAAAGGCGGATGAGTATTTCAACTACAAGAATATATAGGCTTAAAGGGCCGCCAATCCAAAGGTGTCGACTTACTTTGACAAGCGGTCCCATGATCTCCACAAAGAGGATTTGTTCAAACGGAATGTTTGTTAGCTTGCTGAGCTCCCTCTTCAGGGCGCGATACTTCTCGTCCATGTTCAGTCGCAGGCCATACTTCTTTGGAACAGTTCCCTCTAGTCTCATCACTGTACATAAACATGGAAACACATTATCAGGATTTTAACGCATTGCATGCATTTAGTTCATAGAATTTAGGACAGTTTTTCTGGTTATATATCCCTGACGACAACGTTTAAATGCTAGGTAATATTTTAACTCTGTGAAAAGACACTACATTGCACATGACATGAGTTGTACCAAGCTAAAAAAGATAAACAGCTATTGATGAACATTCTTTGTAAAATGATAATAATCAGCACAGTGAAATGTATTTATTTTTGCCTGTTTAGTTTTGTTCGTGGTTATAACAACTTCACCCTCCATGAAATTTGGATTTCCATTGAACAATATATATCTGTGCTGAATGCAATCTCCTGTGAAAGATGGAAAAGGTTAACAATTCTTATTTCGCATAACGTCCTACATCAAATCTTTGTCACAATGATGAAATTTGCAGCATGATGAAAGCACTGCTCACTGATAGCAGCAACTTCAACAATGGTCAGGTAAATCTCCTGGAAAACAAGCTACACTGTTTCAACTTAGAAGTTAAATTGTTCTACAAATTCCAACTTGTATTTCAAAGAAAATGGTCTAGAGTACAATCAACTTATCATTCATCAACCTAGGTAGGTACAGACAAGTAGTTGACTTACCTATGCCCTCCAGGTGTATACAACTCTCTATAGGTAGGTACAGACAAGTAGTTGACTTACCTATGACCTCCAGGTGTATACAACTCTCCATAGGTAGGTACAGACAGGTAGTTGACTTACCTATGACCTCCAGGTGTATACAACTCTCCATAGGTAGGGGTAGAGATAGGTAGTTGAATGGATCAAACCTCACACTGGCATGGCTACACTCCTGACATCTGACCTCAGACTTTAACTGACCGTGGAAAAAGTCGACTATAATAGACTGGTTCCTCTTCAGGTGATTCTCCCATGCCTACAAACAGCATTAAACTTGGAATAGGTATTTTTCGAAAAAAGAATTACGTAAACCTAATAAGGAATATGGCGAGGTAAACATGTTACCCATCCCCCTGACTGCCCGCAGCTGCAGTATTAGAGTGCAATTGCACGAAATGTCAATATGATTTTTGACAGCTGACTTTACTGATTCGGCATACTGTGTCTGAGCGAGTTTTTTTCAGTGGGTTAGAGACGAGACACCAGCCATTTGCACTCTTTGCTCGACAAAGGAAAATCGCATAAATTAGTTTTCAATTCCTGCTTTTGTTCAAAACAAACTTAACCTTTCATAATTATGTAAATCTTCCTTGTTCCAGACAAAAGCCTCATGTATCTTAATGGTACCCAAACATTTCTAGCAAATGAAAAAAGAACAAAACTTGAAATATTACTTTAGGCTTTAGAGTTCTTGAGAAGAAGTCAATCATATAAAAATTATTTTAACATATTTGACCCTATGACCTTAAAAGTCAAGGTAATTTACTGTAGCAACTTTGCTGGCCATCCATCCATCCAAGTTAGCTACAGGCCAAACATTATAACCCTAGGCCTTATGGTTCCTGAGAAATGGACAATACCCATTGTTTCAGGACAATGCACAAAATATATCATTTATAGGTCAACCCATATAAACAATTAAAACGATGATTGATTGACTGAGTGGTTTAATGTCCGCTTCACCACTGAGCAGTTCGGTTAGCCAGCAGACAATGATCATGATCACATGTTACAAATGATATACTCCTGTTTTAAGTACAGAGTTTTTGGAAATAATGACAAAATAAAGATTTCAATTGTATTTATGTGAAACAGGACTTGCAGTTTTAACTTGTGGCGTGTCAGAACAAATCAATAGGATACAGAATCCTGACTAACCTCCTCTGCTACTGTGTTGTCTGGTCGCCCATCACTGTCCTTCAGCTCAACATAGGGTTTGTCATGAACCCTGTTAATAGTCAAACGACAAAGTACAAATACATTACTGATACAAGGTACATATACCTACAACATCATCCTGGCCAAGACCAGGTTCCAGGACCATGAAACAGACCGATGTCTAAGACAACATCATCATCCTGCCCAAGACCAAGACCAGGTTCCGGGATCATGAAACAGACTGATGTCTAAGACAACATCATGATCCTGGCCAAGACCAGGTTCCGGGATCATGAAACAGACTGATGTCTAAGACAACATCATGATCCTGGCCAAGACCAGGTTCCGGGATCATGAAACAGACTGAAGTCTCAGACAACATCATCATCCTGGCCAAGACCAGGTTCCGGGATCATGAAACAGACTGAAGTCTCAGACAACATCATCATCCTGGCCAAGACCAGGTTATGGGATCATGAAACAGACTGATGTCTTAGACAACTTCATCATCCTGGCCAAGACCAGGTTCTGGGATCATGAAAGAGACTGATATCTTAGACAACATCATCATCCTGGCCAAGACCAGGCTCCGGGATCATGAAACAGACTGATGTCTCAGACAACATCATCATCCTGGCCAAGACCAGGTTCAGGGATCATGAAACAGACTGATGTCTCAGACAGCATCACCATCCTGGCCAAGACCAGGTTCTGGGATCATGAAACAGACTGATGTCTAAGACAACATCATGATCCTGGCCAAGACCAGGTTCCGGGATCATGAAACAGACTGATGTCTAAGACAACATCATCCTCCTGGCCAAGACCAAGACCAGGTTCCGGGATCATGAAACAGACTGAAGTCTCAGACAACATCATCATCCTGGCCAAGACCAGGTTCAGGGATCATGAAACAGACTGATGTCTCAGACAGCATCACCATCCTGGCCAAGACCAGGTTCTGGGATCATGAAAGAGACTGATATCTTAGACAACATCATCATCCTGGCCAATACCAGGTTCTGGGATCATGAAACAGACTGATGTCTAAGACAACATCATCATCCTGGCCAAGACCAAGACCAGGTTCCGGGATCATGAAACAGACTGAAGTCTCAGACAACATCATCATCCTGGCCAAGACCAGGTTATGGGATCATGAAACAGACTGATGTCTTAGACAACTTCATCATCCTGGCCAAGACCAGGTTCTGGGATCATGAAAGAGACTGATATCTTAGACAACATCATCATCCTGGCCAAGACCAGGCTCCGGGATCATGAAACAGACTGATGTCTCAGACAACATCATCATCCTGGCCAAGACCAGGTTATGGGATCATGAAACAGACTGATGTCTTAGACAACATCATCATCCTGGACAAGACCAGGTTCTGGGATCATGAAACAGACTGATGTCTCAGACAACATCATCATCCTGGCCAAGACCAGGTTATGGGATCATGAAACAGACTGATGTCTTAGACAACTTCATCATCCTGGCCAAGACCAGGTTCTGGGATCATGAAACAGGCTGATGTCTAAGACAACATCATCATCCTGGCCAAGACCAGGTTCCGGGATCATGAAACAGACTGATGTCTCAGACAACATCATCATCCTGGCCAAGACCAGGTCCATCCTCACCATTTTAACCCATTTACCCTTTAAGTCACATTTGAACCTTACAAAATCGAAGATTGGGTAAGTCCATTTTAAATATGTAAGAGTTGTAAATGTATATTTTCCCCTTCACCAAGCTACATTTAATGAATCAAATAGATTCATAATAATTCAACAAAAAGATTTTATTATTGTTTAAATGTCACTGTATCTAAAATCTAAGTACCCATTGAAATTAACGAGAAATATATAGTTCCAACAAACTGAACTTTTGTACCGGGACATGACATGTCTGCTGTACAGCGGTTCACACATAAATGGAAGTAAAAAATTCAAATTCATATATTAGACTACATGTAGATGACTAATAACTATGGTATGTTGTTCCATTACAAATATATATTTGAGATGTCCAAAGAAATCAGTTATTTTATATCTTTTTGATGAGAACTTTTTGTCACCTGTTGAGATCTTCATGAAGGCCGTCCAACAGAAAGCTGAGAAGTTCCTGAGAGTCGTGCTGCTGGAAGCCGTTAAAGCGAGGTGCATATTTTCCTATCGTCCACTGTAAATCACACAACAAGAAATCTTCACAGTATAAGGAGAAGTACATACCTTTAATATAGAAGTTCGAGGAGTTGATACATAGTCAAAGTTTGAAGTAGTTTTAGGGGCTGATATGTACCCTTAGTTTAAGAGTTGTAGATACCTTAAGTTTGATAGGTAGATACTTACCTATGTTTGAGGGGAAGATAGATATCCAAGTTTGAAACGTCAATAAATAATCAAGCTTGAGGTAATTTGAGGAGTTGATATATAGTCTAAGTTTAAGAAAGTTTTAGCTACATTTCTAAGTTTAAGGCAGCTTGATGGGCCCAAGTTGGAGGTAGTTTTTGGGGTTGACATATACCTCAAGTCTGCGGTAGTTTATAGGTTGATACATACCCTAAGTTTGAGTTTTAGAGGTTGATACATACCCTAAGTTTGAGTTTTAGAGGTTGATATATACCCTGAGTTTGTGTTTTAGAGGTTGATACATACCCTAAGTTTGAGTTTTAGAGGTTGATACATACCCTAAGTTTGAGTTTTAGAGGTTGATATATACCCTATGTTAGAGTTTTAGAGGGAGATACATACCCTAAGTTTGTGTTTTAGAGGTTGAAACATACCCTAGGTATTAGTTTTAGAGTGAGATACACACCCTAAGTTTGAGTTTTAGAGGTTGATTCATACCCTAAGTTTGTGTTTTAGAGGTTGATACATACCCTGAGTTTGTGTTTTAGAGGTTGATACATACCCTACGTTGGAGTTTAGAGGTTGATACATACCCTAAGTTTGTGTTTTAGAGGTTGATACATACCCTACGTTGGAGTTTAGAGGTTGATACATACCCTACGTTGGAGTTTTAGAGATTGATACATACCCTGAGTTTGAGTTTTAGAGGTTGATACATACCCTAAGTTTGTGTTTTAGAGGTTGATACTACCCTGAGTTTATGTTTTAGAGGTTGATACCTACCCTGAGTTTATGTTTTAGAGGTTGATACATGCCCTGAGTTTATGTTTTAGAGGTTGATACATGCCCTGAGTTTATGTTTTAGAGGTTGATACATGCCCTGAGTTTATGTTTTAGAGGTTGATACATGCCCTGAGTTTATGTTTTAGAGGTTGATACATACGCTGAGTTTATGTTTTAGAGGTTGATACATACCCTTAGTTTATGTTTTAGAGGTTGATACATACCCTTAGTTTATGTTTTAGAGGTTGATACATACCCTGAGTTTGTGTTTTAGAGGTTGATACATACCCTAGGTTTGTGTTTTAGAGGTTGATACATACCCTAAGTTTTTGTTTTAGAGGTTGATACATACCCTAAGTTTGTGTTTTAGAGGTTGATACATACCCTAAGTTTGTGTTTTAGAGGTTGATACATACCCTAAGTTTGTGTTTTAGAGGTTGATACATACCCTAAGTTTGTGTTTTAGAGGTTGATACATACCCTAAGTTTGTGTTTTAGAGGTTGATACATACCCTAAGTTTGAGTTTTAGAGCAAGATACATACCCAAAGTTTGAGGTAAGTTTTAGAGTTAGATACATACCCTAAGTTTGAGGGGTGCTATTGACTTGGCAGTCCCACTCCAGAGGTCCTTGACTAGATCCCCATACCGTTGAGCAATGTGTCCTTTCATACCTAAGGGGTTGGTCCTGTTAATCAAAGCAAGGTCAAAGGTCAAATAGAAATAACAAAAAATAAATACAGAAAAATCAATTATACACTGATCCAGAAAGTAATGTCTACTTCTTGACTAGGCACTCCTTGTAGCAGCTTACACAGCAATAGGAATAATTGTTTTTCTTATTTTTGGTTCACAAATAAATACAAAGTTTAAGTTTTAAATTCATACATTAGACTAGATGACTAATAATTTTGAGGTCAAACAGGTGTAGTCACCTGTACCTACCTATTGAGTTCAAACATGTGTAGTCACCTGTACCTACCTATTGAGTTCAAACAGGTGTAATCACCTGTACTTACCTATTGAGTTCAAACAGGTGTAGTCACCTGTACCTACCTAATGAGTTCAAATAGGTGTAATCACCTGTACCTACCTAATGAGTTCAAACATGTGTAGTCACCTGTACCTACCTATTGAGTTCAAACAGGTGTAATCACCTGTACTTACCTATTGAGTTCAAACAGGTGTAATCACCTGTACCTACCTATTGAGTTCAAATAGGTGTAATCACCTGTACCTACCTATTGAGTTCAAATAGGTGTAATCACCGGTACCTACCTATTGAGTTCAAACAGGTGTAGTCACCTGTACCTACCTAATGAGTTCAAATAGGTGTAATCACCTGTACCTACCTAATGAGTTCAAACATGTGTAGTCACCTGTACCTACCTATTGAGTTCAAACAGGTGTAATCACCTGTACTTACCTATTGAGTTCAAACAGGTGTAATCACCTGTACCTACCTATTGAGTTCAAATAGGTGTAATCACCTGTACCTACCTATTGAGTTCAAATAGGTGTAATCACCTGTACCTACCTATTGAGTTCAAACAGGTGTAGTCACCTGTACCTACCTATTGAGTTCAAACAGGTGTAGTCACCTGTACCTACCTATTGAGTTCAAACAGGTGTAATCACCTGTACCTACCTATTGAGTTCAAACAGGTGTAATCACCTGTACCTACCTATTGAGTTCAAACAGGTGTAATCACCTGTACCTACCTATTGAGTTCAAACAGGTGTAGTCACCTGTACCTACCTATTGAGTTCAAACAGGTGTAGTCACCTGTACCTACCTATTGAGTTCAAACAGGTGTAGTCACCTGTACCTACCTATTGAGTTCAAACAGGTGTAGTCACCTGTACCTACCTATTGAGTTCAAACAGGTGTAGTCACCTGTACCTACCTATTGAGTTCAAACAGGTGTAGTCACCTGTACCTACCTATTGAGTTCAAACAGGTGTAGTCACCTGTACCTACCTATTGAGTTCAAACAGGTGTAGTCACCTGTACCTACCTATTGAGTTCAAACAGGTGTAGTCACCTGTACCTACCTATTGAGTTCAAACAGGTGTAGTCACCTGTACCTACCTATTGAGTTCAAACAGGTGTAGTCACCTGTACCTACCTATTGAGTTCAAACAGGTGTAGTCACCTGTACCTACCTATTGAGTTCAAACAGGTGTAATCACCTGTACCTACCTAATGAGTTCAAACATGTGTAGTCACCTGTACCTACCTACTGAGTTCAAATAGGTGTAGTCACCTGTACCTACCTATTGAGTTAAAAAAGGTGTAGTCACCTGTACTTACCTATTGAGTTAAAAAAGGTGTAGTCACCTGTACCTACCTATTGAGTTCAAACAGGTGTTATCACCTGTACCTACCTATTGAGTTCAAACAGGTGTAATCCACCTATGAAGTAGTGAGTGAGAGGCCATGTGTTGGACACACACTGGACTGCAGCGTTCATAAAACATGTGTTACCAAGGTTATTGAGACCAGTCGCACCTTTATGGGTAGGAGCTGCAAGGGAGACAATCCACAAATAAATCAAATTCACATACAAATAAATCATTACTCCACCAATTGTTTAGCTCTGTTTAGATGCTTATCAAGTATATTGAGATTTGTGTTTTATTAATAAAAGAAATTTCAAACTTTGACAAGTTTAATGTGAGTTTAGACTAGACCCCTTGATATGTATTGAAAAATAAACTTCTCTAAACCTCAATTGTTCAGCCTTTCTAAACTACAATAAACAGTATTACACTGTGTGAACAGATCAATCAAAGTATTACACTGTGTGACCAGATCAATCAAAGTTTGAGGAGGGCTACATTAACATACCTTGATCTTTGCGAAATGTTTTGTTTTTGGCGAGTTGTGACATTTCTTCAGGCCAAGTGAGATCTTTGTTACGAACTAAAAAACAAAGCAACATGAGGGATGTCATTGTACATGAACAAAAGATGGAGGCAACATTTCATTACAACTATTGTATAAAGTGGCCTCAACAAATAGAAATATTAATTATAGTAGATTATATGACATAAAACTGTCAAAGTAAAATATAAAAGAGTAAATTAGCGAACTTGATAATTCCCGGCATTATTACAAGTTCTTAGAATCATTCCTGGCTTTATAACAAGTTCTGGGAATCACAGACTAGATATAGAGAGCCAATCATTAAAGGAGATTTTATCATGTGATGTAGTACTTACTCTCTATGAGGACGAGCTGGTTTTCCTATCATATCATGTGATAGAGTACTTACTCTCTATGAGGACGAGCTGGTTTTCCTATTTTATCATGTAATGTAGTACTTACTCTCTATGAGGACGAGCTTGTTTTCCTCTAAAGCACACTCCTCTATCATGTGATGTATTACTTACTCTCTATGAGGACGAGCTGGTTTTTCTATATCCTGTGATGTAGTACTTACTCTCTTTGAGGACGAGCTGGTTTTCCTCTAAAGTACACTCCTCTATCATGTGATGTAGTACTTACTAGCTATGAGGACGAGCTGGTTTTCCTCTAAAGCACACCCCTCTATCATGTGATGTAGTACTTACTCTCTATGAGGACGAGCTGGTTTTAGTACTTACTCTCTATGAAGACGAGCTGGTTTTCCTCTAAAGCACACTCCTCTATCATGTGATGTAGTACTTACTTTCTATGAGGACGAGCTGGTTTTCCTATATCCTGTGATGTAGTACTTACTCTCTATGAGGACGAGCTGTTTTTCCTCTAAAGCACACTCCTCTATCATGTGATGTAGTACTTACTCCCTATGAGGACGAGCTGGTTTTCCTATATCCTGTGATGTAGTACTTACTCTCTCTGAGGACGAGCTGGTTTTCCTCTAAAGCCCACTCCTCTATCATGTGATGTAGTACTTACTAGCTATGAGGACGAGCTGGTTTTCCTCTAAAGTACACTCCTCTATCATGTGATGTAGTACTTACTCTCTATAAGGACAAGCTGGTTTTCCTATTTTATCATGTAATGTAATACTTACTCTCTATGAGGACAAGCTGGTTTTCCTATTTTATCATGTGATGTAGTACTTACTCTCTATAAGGACAAGCTGGTTTTCCTATTTTATCATGTGATGTAGTACTTACTCTCTATGAGGACGAGCTGGTTTTCCTATTTTATCATGTGATGTAGTACTTACTCTCTATGAGGACGAGCTGGTTTTCCTATTTTATCATGTGATGTAGTACTTACTCTCTATGAGGACGAGCTGGTTTTCCTCTAAAGCACACTCCTCTATCAGGGTATTCTCATCGTCCAGCAATGTCATGTTCTGTAAGTACATACACACAAACAAGGGATTTCATTAACTGCTGTCAATAACTCAGATTCAAATTCAGATTTTGAGGAAATTTGACAATTATTAATCCATGTCAATGCTTAAATTACAAATGCAAATTGACAATTGTAACAAAATATGTCAAAACTTATCAAGACCCCCAAAAACTGGTCGCGGACTAAAGCCCAAAGTTTCGTTCTTGCTATCATAAATTACCAATTCTGCCAGGAAATAATCTAAATCTATTTAAAATAATATTGTTAAATTTCAATATCACCAGGTTCAAATGTAATACAACAGATGATATTTTAATTTGGACATTAATGTCTAGATTCTTTGATGATCCCCGGGCCAGGAGAAGTAGCTGTCAACTCACATCTTCTTTCTGTCCTATTTTCCAAAGGCGCATGTCCTCCCTGTTGAGCCTCAGTTTCGTACACAGGAACTCGTAAACCTGCTGTAAGGTGTGCTGCTGACTAAACGTCGCCGAGTACGCCACAAACCGTCGCGGCGTCTGGGGGCTGTTAGCCACAAAGTTGGTCATCGCTGGAAAGACAAACCATATCATGAAAACTGTTCACACATTGAGTACTCAAAATTAACTTGATGCAATTTTCTGTTAGAGTATTTTCTGTCACATTCATCATCAATAGAGTTATTCGTGCGTATTATTGCACAGGGATGTCACTTTCCTGATATTACGATCCTGACATCATGTGTAAACCAATAAGTGGTCATTACTGAGCAGACAATGCGATGGTGACCAAACCAAAATATGAGGTCCATAACAAGAAATGTAAAGCATCTGGATTTTGCACTTTATGAATAAAACAAAAAGTGGTTTGTTTTGATATATATATGTGTTGAGAATGCATTTAATGTCAACATTATGAAACATGCCAACTTGTTTTTAAACTAACACTTCAGATGATTAAAAACCTCAACTACTGGTGTGTAATGACTCCCTGATAAGGTTACAGATATATCAGAATATGAAGGAACAAGGCCTGGCTATTTTGGGTATCCCAGGAGTCAGGACTTGTCATACAACTAACCAATACACTAATTCCACAATATCCTGTGTAGGTAATGGTGACAGGAGTCAGGACTTGTCGTACAACTAACCAATACCCTAATTCCACAATATCCCGTGTAGGTAATGGTGACAGGAGTCAGGACTTGTCGTACAACTAACCAATACACTAATTCCACAATATCCCGTGTAGGTAATGGTGACAGGAGTACCATTATATCTACTGTACTAGCACTTCATGTGATTACTTTATTTGTAGAAAATGACACATCTCTACAAACTGAAGCAGAGAAGAATTAGTGCCTTATATCAACCTGATAATGCTTGTGACAGCTGTACAATTATGTTTTTTTTTTTCAAATAGTTGGCCTATTGTTTTGATGACATGCTTGTGTTACATATATCACTGTACAGTTATAGTGAAATACAGAAAAGAATAAGTGCACATGTATATAACTATAGAAAATCTAAGTACACATGTATATAACTATAGAAAATCTAAAAGGAGTTAAATTGACATGCAATTTTATGAAATAATCTTCAGTGGAAAGGAACAAGTTTGAGATATTTTCAATCACATGCATCATAACAGATCCAAACTGACATATTCTGTTTAAAAATGTCCTGGTTACACGTAAAGTTATAAAAGAGATTGGTATTTGATGTAAACTTCTGTCATCGTCACTGTTGTGACTGCAGTAGAACCACGAGCACACATTTCATTTTGTCAAAATATGTTTGTTTGTTCCTGACTAGCGCTCTATTAAATATAAAGTTGAGAAACAGATGACATACGAAAAATAAAAAAATGAAAAAAAGACAGATACCGCCCAACAACACATAAGCCCAATTGACCTTCAAACAAGTGAACTTGCGAAACAAAAGTACAGAAATATATGGAAAAGTGAACTGAACAAAAAACACACACAACTGTTCCATGTTATATGGTACACAGACATTACAGGAGGTATATAAGCTCAACCCCACAGACAGATTACAACAGAAAGCAGCTACATTACATACAAAGGGAGACTATATCTGAAAGAGAAACATCCTTTATGGTACGATAAACGATGAAACTACAGTAATAACACAGCCTTGATTTGCTAGTTTGTTTTACATGCTACTAGTTATAAAGATCAAACACATACTGCAGTATATGTGTTTTGTCACCTGATTACAAATTTAAAAGTGACATAATTGAGATAAACCGCTCTTGTTGCATCTTAAATATGTGCAGACATGCTACAAGATTTATTTGTTATTTTATAGATTCAGAAAAGTTGTTAAATATTATTATTATAATAGAATATGATTTATTATATATAATTACACATTTACATGGTACTTGCCATTTTTGCAAGCTGTAAATTCCAAAGGAATAGAAAATAATTATCTCAGCAAAAACAAGACTGTTGACTTTATATTTAAAAGACCACGTGTGAGGCAATATCATCCATCCTAAATTATGTATTCACTGTAACAGATATATCTACTGTAGAGAGTTTTATATTGACTGTATACAGATAACTCTACTGTAGAGTTTTATATTGACTGTATACAGATAAATCTACTGCAGATAGTTTTATATTGACTGTATACAGATATATCTACTGTATAGAGTTTTATATTGACTGTATACAAATATATCTACTGTATAGAGTTTTATATTGACTGTATACAGATATATCTACTGTATATAGTTTTATATCGACTGTATACAGATATATCTACTGTATAGAGTTTTATATTGACTGTATACAGATATATCTACTGTATAGAGTTTTATATTGACTGTATACAGATATATCTACTGTATAGAGTTTTATATTGACTGTATACAGATATATCTACTGTATAGAGTTTTATATTGACTGTATACAGATATATCTACTGTATAGAGTTTTATATTGACTGTATACAGATATATCTACTGTATAGAGTTTTATATTGACTGTATACAGATATATCTACTGTATAGAGTTTTATATTGACTGTATACAGATATATCTACTGTATAGAGTTTTATATTGACTGTATACAGATATATCTACTGTATAGAGTTTTATATTGACTGTATACAGATATATCTACTGTATAGAGTTTTATATGGACTGTATACAGATATATCTACTGTATGCAGCTTTATATTGACTGTATACAGATATATCTACTGTATGCAGTTTTATATTGACTGTATACAGATATATCTACTGTATAGAGTTTTATATGGACTGTATACAGATATATCTACTGTATATAGTTTTATATTGACTGTATACAGATATATATACTGTATAGAGTTTTATATTGACTGTATACATATATATCTGTTGTATAGAGTTTTATATTGACTGTTTACAGATATATCTACTGTATGCAGCTTTATATTGACTGTATACAGATATATCTACTGTATAGAGTTTTATATTGACTGTATACAGATATATATACTGTATAGAGTTTTATATTGACTGTATACATATATATCTGTTGTATAGAGTTTTATATTGACTGTATACATATATATCTACTGTATAGAGTTTTATATTGACTGTATACAGATATATCTACTGTATAGAGTTTTATATTGACTGTATACAGATATATATACTGTATAGAGTTTTATATTGACTGTATACATATATATCTGTTGTATAGAGTTTTATATTGACTGTATACATATATATCTACTGTATAGAGTTTTATATTGACTGTATACAGATATATCTACTGTATAGAGTTTTATATTGACTGTATACAGATATATATACTGTATAGAGTTTTATATTGACTGTATACATATATATCTGTTGTATAGAGTTTTATATTGACTGTATACAGATATTTATCTACTGTATAGAGTTTTATATTGACTGTACAGACTTATTTTCACAGCAATGTCATTCTCATGGATAATTGAATTTTCAAATTTAACAAAACTGTGAACATTGGAAGTCATTTAAATCTAAAGCACTAGCAGACATTTGTACTCAAACATTTCCGACAGATCTAATAGTATTGAAATGAGTGAAATTGCATTTTTCACACAAAAATAAATAAATAAATAAAACAAATTAAATAATATTGTGTGCCACCAAACCAGTACTCTATGATACAACAGACATAGACTAGAATTTTCTACGAGCTAACCAGTAACAATGACACAATATATAGCACATCACACAAACCTGGTCATACAGGTTCTACTCATACAGGTTCTACTCCCAATAATTCAATTTTTATCGAATGCATTTTGATTTCTCTTTCATATTTTTTTTTTCTAAAATATCTACGAATATCTAAATTATCACTTTTATGAATATAAATATATATATATGTAATGGAATCATTCAAATGCACAAATAGTGCTAAAATCTTTAAATCTTCTGTTCAGTACAACATGTATAATTTCCTACAGTACAGTTAGATTCCATCTCACTGCTGTTCTGTTATGACCAGGTTGTGATTTATCTACACATCAAATATTTACTGTAACATCCAGTGTCTACATCAGCCAATTAGGATCTACGGATCTACCTGATTTAATATCATCAACTTCGTAAAAAAAAAATTGCCAAGCAAATCAAATGTCCCCTGATTGTTTTGACCATTAATCATACCAATGTATGTCCTTACAATGATAATTTCACTTGTGAAAATTTCCTCACAAATGGGGAAATGATCACCCATTTTCATGTAAAGTTATACTTTTCTAAATCAAGTTTTACTTGTTGTTTGTTTATATTTTCTGAGGTATCACTGAGCAATGCTAACCCCCCTTGATTGTTTTTACTATCATGCTATACAAACACCAATCCTTATGATACCGCCTAGAGTTACCTTCCCTGTTACTCCTCAATCATTTATTTCCTACAGGCATTGAAGTTATAGGATACCATTAACAGAAATTTGATGTAGTCTATAACTCATACTTTGGTCAATGGTCACTTACAGTTTGAATTGACCATAAATGTCAATCTTAAGAAATGCCTAAAGGAATAAGCATGTCACCCAGAAAACCTGTCCAATTTATTAATGAATTTATACAGCATTTCCCGTCTAAGTAATCCTACAGTTATACATTCAGTTATCATCATTATGATTTTGAGGAATGAAAATATGTAGCCAAAGTTTAAACTTGGGAGTAATTTGCCAGTATTTGACACAGCAGACCTGGATGTTACAGTGACTAAGAAAGCTAGGGCATGCTCACATAATGCCATACCACCAATGCCTGACATCATCCCGGTAAACGTCGTCATGTGGGCGGGGCGTTGACTTGGCATCTGATGGCGCTGTAGTCGTACTGTCACAGGGTACAGTTCCAGCTCTGGAATACCATCATTGTTTGCCGAGGCTATCACCTGTAAAAATGTATGTTACACTCGAGTGTGTATCACATGTAGAACACCTGTATAAAATGTATGTTACACTCGAGTGTGTATTACATGTATATCACGTGTATAACACCTGTATAAAATGTATGTTACACTTGACTGTGTATCACATGTATAAAACCTGTATAAAATGTATGTTACACTCGAGTGTGAAGCACATGTATATCACCTGTATAACACCTGTATAAATTGTATGTTACACTCGAGTGTGTATCACATGTATAACACCTATATAACACCTGCATAAAATGTATGTTACACTCGAGAGTGAATCACATGTATATCACCTGTATAACACCTGTATAAAAATGCATGTTACACTCGAGTGTGTATCACATGTATATCTCCTGTATAACACCTGTATAAATTGTATGTTACACTCGAGTGTGTATCACATGTATATCATCTGTAGATCACCTGTATAAAATGTATGTTACACTCGAGTGTGAATCACATGAATATCACCTGTATAACACCTGTATAAAATGTATGTTACACTTGAGTGTGTATCACATGTATATCACCCGTAGAACACCTGTATAAAATGTATGTTACACTCGGGTGTGTATCACATGTATATCATCTGTAGAACACCTTTATAAAATGTATGTTACACTCGAGTGTGTATCACATGGATATCATCTGTAGAACACCTGTATAAAATGTATGTTTCACTCGAGTGTGTATCACATGTATATCACCTGTAGAACACCTGTATAAAATGTATGTTACACTCGGGTGTGTATCACATGTATATCATCTGTAGAACACCTTTATAAAATGTATGTTACACTCGAGTGTGTATCACACGTATATCACATGTATATCACCTATATAAAATGTATGTTACACTCGAGTGTGTATAACATGTATAACACCTATATAACACCTGTATAAAATGTATGTTACACTTGACTGTGTATCACATGTATAAAACCTGTATAAAATGTATGTTACACTCGAGTGTGAAGCACATGTATATCACCTGTATAACACCTGTATAAATTGTATGTTACACTCGAGTGTGTATCACATGTATAACACCTATATAACACCTGTATAAAATGTATGTTACACTCGAGTGTGTATCACATGTATAACACCTATATAACACCTGTATAAAATGTATGTTACACTCGAGTGTGAATCACATGTATATCACCTGTATAACACCTGTATAAAATGTATGTTACACTTGACTGTGTATCACATGTATAAAACCTGTATAAAAAGTATATTACACCTGTATATATATATTATTGCTACAAAATGATACCGTGACTGCTCGCTATCTCAGATCATTGGATGTCATTAATATGGCGTTATTTATGTCGGATAGCCAGCAAACACTATATATTCCACCAAAATTAAACACTGGTGGCCATGGGTCAGAAAACTCATTACAATGTATTTTTGGCAGAATAACATTTAAAATCTCCATTGTGCATCTACATAGAGCTAATAACCATATGTATCATCAAGCAAAATTTTAAAAATTACAAAACTTCTAGATTCTGAGATATTTCTGGAAACTGAAGTGTTGACTGAAAGACATACAGACAGGCACCCTGCTTACTACAGGGCACCTGTATCCCTGCTATGTGTCCCTAGCGAGGTCAGTATCAATCATCACTTCTATCACAACACTCCTTTCAAGGTATACGTTTATGGTATACCTAAGTGTGTTGACTGGAGAGTTCCCCAATACTTACAGTTCTTGGTAGCGGTGTGTCGGTGCCATACCACACGGACAGGGCTCGCCACACCGGCTCAGGGACTAGCTCAAAATCTTTTCCTCTCACTAACATTGTATCTCTTTTGAGACGACCCCCTTCATTTGTTAATGATGAAACCTTGAAGAAAGACCATTGAGAGTATCCAAAATAAACACAGCATTGGAACAAAAACCAATAATGTGTATACAAATGTTTCAGGTATAAATCTAATATCGATAATAGCTGACAGTAAACTAATAAAGTAAATATTTAGTGAGTTGATAAAAGACCATATCACGACAGAAATGTTAACAAATTTTCTTTTAACAGATTTGTGTAACAGCAAATGATTTGTTAGTTATTTTCCTTAGCTGTAACTTCAACTATACATTCCTGACTGCTCATTTCTCCTTCACATCAATCAAGAGTAACCACGACCTTACCCAGCTGGTCAATAAACAAGCATTTTCAGACTGTGAAAATGTCCACTTTAGCAGCACATTAGCATTAATCCTATTGAAGCTCTCAAGTGATTACTGTCCCTTTCTCCTTATTGAGGGAGCTGACTTACCTTGGTGGTATTGAGAGCTATCAGTTGACTGTTGTCGATAGCTCCTGGTCGAGGGGGCACAGAATTACAAGAATGAACATTTTTCTTCCGCAGTTTAGGTGAGGGACTAGGACTACGATTGACCACAGTTGACTCGCCTGGGTTTAGACAGTGCCTGAGGGGGCTGCTATACACAGAGCTATGGTTTGACGCTCGAGGTAACGTGTGGTTACGAACTTGATTGGTCGCACCACCGAGTTCAGAGTTAGTTCCCTTGGTGACATTGACAACAATCACAGAATCATCGTCCCAGGGAAGTGTTTTTGATTGATGCTTTCCTTTAGTTATTCTATGGTGCACTGGCGAGTCCAGGAATGATCCCTTCTCAATCCCGTTCTGGTCCAAAAGAACGTTCGCCTCCACTGCCTGAACACAGAGCGACAAACAACATAGAACATCAGTTCATTTCTATCAACTGAGTTGGGGAGGAAGTAAAGGCTATTTGAAACTCAGAATTAAAACCAGATTTTTTTCTTTTAATTACATACTACATGTAGTTATAAACTTGTTAACGGTTTGCCTATGAGATGTAAGGGAGACAACTCACCGTAGGACTGACATATTCTATCCAGGAGTTCCCCCGAAACTCGGAATGAAAACAATAGTATTTTCATTTATTACAATCTACATGTACCTATATACTTATTAAGTTGTCAAGCCTTTTTTTAATTCTGTAGAATATCATCTTGCCTATGAGATGGAAGGGAGACAACTCACCGTAGGACTGACATATTCTATCCAGGAGTTCCCCCGAAACTCGGAATGAAAACAATAGTATTTTCATTTATTACAATCTACATGTACCTATATACTTATTAAGTTGTCAAGCCTTTTTTTAATTCTGTAGAATATCATCTTGCCTATGAGATGGAAGGGAGACAACTCACCGTAGGACTGACATATTCTATCCAGGAGTTCCCCCGAAACTCGGAATGAAAACAATAGTATTTTCATTTATTACAATCTACATGTACCTATATACTTATTAAGTTGTCAAGCCTTTTTTTAATTCTGTAGAATATCATCTTGCCTATGAGATGGAAGGGAGACAACTCACCGTAGGACTGACATATTCTATCCAGGAGTTCCACCACTGCATGGCTAAGAGGTACCACACCTGTCCCACACGGAACGGCTTCCGCGACTCCCGTGACAGCCAGTCACTGTAAAGTGTTCATCAACAAGTCAGATTCAGTGGAAAATTGGGTTATTACATCATGAATCAATTCCATTTTATATTCAATCCTTGGAAATCCGTACATTTTCATTTTTTTTTTATCAACAGTGATGTTATCGAATCAATAGATAAAACAGTTTTACTTTAGTAACAGGAAATGTTTACCTGAGACCTCTTACCTTTACACAAAACTAACTGTTTATTTTAGAAAAGGACACTATATTACAACTCCACCATTTACAACAGTCTGGGGTTGGGGTTTTGTACCATTCCTATTTAAAGGTATTTTCATGTTTTAAGACATATAATGGTACACATTTTCAAAATGTCTTTATAAATTCAGTAATGATTCATTTGAGATCCTCTAGACTTTATCACAGATGAATGACTTACTTGACAATTTTTCCTTCTTCTTCCCTTTTCTGAGGCTTTAGTCCTAATACTATATGGCAAATCTGAAGGAAAAAAAATAGCTCAATATTTCACTGATATAACGAGGATCCTGATAATAAGAGCATGACAGTGTCGAATGACTTTGATTCGAGCTGAAATTGAGGTATTATTAGAGTATTACTAGCCCATCACAGCTCAACTTCTCAATTACTGCACCTGAAAAGGGAGTTTGAGTAAGTTGTTATTAGTTGTGTATATACCTACCTGACTAAGGAGATTGAGGAAGGCATCAGCCAGCGTATTGTTGACTGTCCACACCAGGTATTTATTAGTTGTGTATATTCCTACCTGAATAAGGAGATCGAGGAAGTCATCAGCCAGCATATTGTTGACTGTCCAGCAGGTATTTATTAGTTGTGTATATACCTACCTGACTAAGGAGATCGAGGAAGTCATCAGCCAGCATATTGTTGACTGTCCATAGCAGGTATTTATTAGTTGTGTATATACCTACCTGACTAAGGAGATCGAGGAAGTCATCAGCCAGCGTATTGTTGACTGTCCATACCAGGTATTTATTAGTTGTGTATATACCTACCTGACTAAGGAGATCGAGGAAGTCATCAGCCAGCGTATTGTTGACTGTCCATACCAGGTATTTATTAGTTGTGTATATACCTACCTGACTAAGGAGATCGAGGAAGTCATCAGCCAGCGTATTGTTGACTGTCCATACCAGGTATTTATTAGTTGTGTATATACCTACCTGACTAAGGAGATCGAGGAAGTCATCAGCCAGCGTATTGTTGACTGTCCATACCAGGTATTTATTAGTTGTGTATATACCTACCTGACTAAGGAGATCGAGGAAGTCATCAGCCAGCGTATTGTTGACTGTCCATACCAGGTATTTATTAGTTGTGTATATACCTACCTGACTAAGGAGATCGAGGAAGTCATCAGCCAGCGTATTGTTGACTGTCCATACCAGGTATTTATTAGTTGTGTATATACCTACCTGACTAAGGAGATCGAGGAAGTCATCAGCCAGCGTATTGTTGACTGTCCATACCAGGTATTTATTAGTTGTGTATATACCTACCTGACTAAGGAGATCGAGGAAGTCATCAGCCAGCGTATTGTTGACTGTCCATACCAGGTATTTATTAGTTGTGTATATACCTACCTGACTAAGGAGATCGAGGAAGTCATCAGCCAGCGTATTGTTGACTGTCCATACCAGGTATTTATTAGTTGTGTATATACCTACCTGACTAAGGAGATCGAGGAAGTCATCAGCCAGCGTATTGTTGACTGTCCATACCAGGTATTTATTAGTTGTGTATATACCTACCTGACTAAGGAGATCGAGGAAGTCATCAGCCAGCGTATTGTTGACTGTCCATACCAGGTATTTATTAGTTGTGTATATACCTACCTGACTAAGGAGATCGAGGAAGTCATCAGCCAGCGTATTGTTGACTGTCCATACCAGGTATTTATTAGTTGTGTATATACCTACCTGACTAAGGAGATCGAGGAAGTCATCAGCCAGCGTATTGTTGACTGTCCATACCAGGTATTTATTAGTTGTGTATATACCTACCTGACTAAGGAGATCGAGGAAGTCATCAGCCAGCGTATTGTTGACTGTCCATACCAGGTATTTATTAGTTGTGTATATACCTACCTGACTAAGGAGATCGAGGAAGTCATCAGCCAGCGTATTGTTGACTGTCCATACCAGGTATTCTGCCATGGAGATACAGCCATCCTGCAACAGTCATTAAAGTTTTTGTGTTTTTTTAATACACTTAATTTTTGTGTTTTTTTAGTACACTTAATTTTTGTTCATCGAGCAACAACCAGTCTGGTTGTCTAGCTATCGCTTACAAGGCACCATTATACACTTCATAACATTTTATTTTCTAAAGTAAAAGTGATGCATTGCAAGAAATTTCTTTCTGATGTATAAGAAGGAATTATTGATGTATTAGAAGAAATTACTGATGTATTAGAAGAAATTACTGATGTATAAGAAGAAATTACTGATGTATGAGAAGGAATAACTGTAAGATTTATAATCAAGCTGTTCTGAGCAATAATGAAATATTCATAATATTCTTGCTGACAGATACTTTATAAAGAGCATCAGATAACCTCAATCTTTGCAGGAAAGTCTGAATTTTTAAAGAGGGGAAATGTAAGCATTCTACACATAAATTTGCATGATTACACTGAGACTGGTATGTAGCCTGCCACCAGACACAGTATACTGGGACTATACTACATACACTGTATACTGGGGTAATATTATATATAACCCGGTTATATTACACATTTCAAGGATGATATCATATATCATTAGGACTATAAATGGGGATTATATTACACATTTCAGGGATGATATCATATATCATTAGGACTATAAATGGGGATTATATTATATATTTCAGGGATGATATTATATTTCATTAGGACTATAAATGGGGATTATATTACACATTTCAGGGATGATATTATATATCATTAGGACTATAAATGGGGATTATATTATATATTTCAGGGATGATATTATATTTCATTAGGACTATAAATGGGGATTATATTACACATTTCAGGGATGATATCATATATCATTAGGACTATAAATGGGGATTATATTATATATTTCAGGGATGATATTATATTTCATTAAGACTATAAATGGGGATTATATTATACATTTCAGGGATGATATTATATTTCATTAGGACTATAAATGGGGATTGTATTATATATTTCAGGGATAATATTATATATTTCAGGGATGATATTATATATTTCAGGGATGATATTATATTTCATTAAGACTATAAATGGGGATTATATTATTTATATTGGGGTTATATTACATACTTCGGTAATGATTCTATATATATATATATTGTATTACTGGGTATATTGGGGATTATATAACATATAAACCAGTTATACTAGATACAGTGCAGATTTACCTGGTGTTTATCCTGTTCTTCGTTATCCCTTTTTGACACATATGTGTCCTTGAGTCCCTTAAACATGTTTATTAAAACATGTTTATTAAAACATGTTAACTTGTTGTATTGTATAAACATATAAAATTAGTCGTTCTATACAGATAATCATTGTTACTGTACTGACAACCAGACCTCACTGAAAGCTCCCTCCAGGTGGAGCACAAGTCATGTTTAGGAGTATCACAAATCTGACTTCAATAAAAGAAGTCGACAAACTACAAAAGGCTAAAACATAATATAAACTTATGACCTTATGAAATCTAACTGGATGCTCCAATGACCATTGAAATGTAATTGGACACTTTTACTTCATTCGAACTATCATTGGTCACTAACATGACCAGCTGAACTCTACTAGGACACTCACATGACCATAAAATTTGAACTGGACAATACCATGATGTCTTAATTCTAATTGGGTGCTGTATTAGCCAAGACATCTTTACAGGCCAGTCTAGCTGTGCTACATTTACGTGAAATACGTCTTTGAATGCCTACCTTATCTGTGTCGTGACAGGCTAGAATCTCACTGGCTACCGAGTGAGGATCCATCTTGTGGAACATGTCAGACTCCTGTAGAATAAACAGTACAACATTACCAGTATATCCCCTACATACAGTGCATGTCCTTATTTTCAAGTACTTAAAAGATAAAAAAAATCTTCGTAAATAGTGTTCATTTCTGAATATTTTATAGTCATATTAATGTACATGTACAAACTCATGCTTTGCTTTCAGACATATATAATCTGTTGTGTGAAAGTGTCTAAGCAGTAACTCTGATCAATGATACTCAGAGTAAACCTATCTGTCCTGTTAACATTACGTCTGTGGTGCCATACTTACTAGCTCGGCCCCACTGCGGCTCTCAAACCTGATGAGTAGTAAAGCATTGAGCATACTCTTCAGTTCAGCGTGGTTCAGCTTGTTGTCATGGTTGGCATCAAATACTTTAAAGCAAACTGGAACACAAATATTTCAATTAAACATTTATCATATTTTTATATACATTCAATGACCATATTTTGAAGAATTAGGTTTCAATCATCTGTACAAAACACATGATTTTATTTTAATTTTTTAATTTTACTATAAATATACAGTCCAAACTTATTATGTCAAAGTCATCAAGACTGTAAACATCTTCGACATAAACAAGGCATTCAATCACAGGGGTTTGTTACAAATGTCTGAAATACACAAACGCTATGGTGATATGGGTCACAGCACGTATCTGTGCTGTGACCCATATCAGTACAGGATATGTGTATATCAGGCATTTGTACCGAAACCCTGTGATTCAATCAAACACATACAAGTAAGCAGCTAGGAGATCTCCAATAATGCCTCCAAGATCACCAGGGGTTTTAAATACTCTGAGAGCAATGAACTTTGGTTACATTTAAGCACCTTGGTGTGAAGACGTGCAATATTGAGGATCACTATAAACTTACACTTCTGCCTCTCTGTACTGGGTCCACGACAACACGCTGATATTCCACATGCCATCTCTTTAAAGTCAATATGATTGTCACGATTCTCATCAAATGCCTTAAACAAACCTGTAAACCACAGACAGAATACATATTTAGACTTAAAACATATCAGTTGAGTTATAAGAGATGAATTTAAATTTGACATCAACAGAAAAAAGTATTTCTACTTTATAGTAAGTACCAGTTAAAAGCCAAGAACATGAAAATTTGGTTTGGCAAAAGACTATGGTTTTTTTACAATACTATTAATTTCACCAAGGGTACTAGCTATAGGTAGCTGGTCAACTTCAGTTCACAGCCAGCAGTCTTAGTCAGTTATTAAGGTTTGATAACAGCTGTCACCGTTAGTCCTCTACAATCCATAAACAAATCAAACATGACACATGAGTCATTTGAAGAGAGCTTCAACAATTCTATAAGTACTATTTAATCATCACCATATTTCTTATTTTGTAAACCCTACATTTGCCTGTGGATCTTTACCTTCACACACAGACTCTGGCACTGGTGGACACACCAGGGCCTTGAACGTCTCAACGTCAAACTTGCCGCTCTTGGACTGCGACTTTAATACCCAGTAGCGTTTATCTAACTCGCTGATGTCGCTCTCCTCCACTGTAAACAAATAACGACAACGTGATATAGACACATAAAAACATCATTATAACCACTGGTCAAGTACATTTCGGCATCATATCGAATGATACTTGTGGGTGGATAAATTTAGGGGAATTGTAAAGGATATAAGGAAAAAGTGGACCTTGACTAGCCTATACTATAACACTATTCTCTATAGCTAATACTCTGTAGTGTATATTATATACAGTTTGGATGATATCTCCTTGTTATATTAAATATTACACATACAGCCTATAGCTGATATTCTGTATTGTATATTATATACAGTTTGGATGATAACTGCGTGCTATATTATATATTACACATACAGCCTATACTATAACACTATTCTCTATAGCTAATACTCTGTATTGTATATTATATACAGTTTGGATGATATCTCCTTGTTATATTAAATATTACACATACAGCCTATAGCTGATATTCTGTATTGTATATTATATACAGTTTGGATGATAACTGCGTGCTATATTATATATTACACCTACAGCCTATACTATAACACTATTCTCTATAGCTAATACTCTGTATTGTATATTATATACAGTTTGGATGATAACTCTGTGTTATATTATATAATTATTATAGGGGTCAAAGAAGTAATATAGACGGTAAAATCCCATATAACACTGAATCCTAATGGAAGTATGTCCGTAGGATACGAATTACTTAAAATATTATATGGGGCAAATATATATAGCTTGGACTATTATGCTTTATAATATATAAAGTCTGTTACACAGATCTTTATCACACATACAGTGGGTGACCCCAGCCAGGGTCTGGTAGAAAGTGGGTGTGTCTGTGTCGTTAGACAGGGATATCGTCATTGGCTCCATGAGCAGCCATTTTGTAATGATGGTGGCGTCAGGATGGTGATATAACCACGACCGGAACTGTTCGAAGCCGACCTGGTCACTCTGAAGTACGCAAAAAAAATATCTAATTTAAATACAGTTTTGATATTATTCAAATAAAATGTTCAAATGCAGACAATCAAATATAATAAATAGTTGTATGGACTTACAATTACAAATCCTACAAATACAAAAAAACACCCTAAAACCAATCAAAGTCTGATGTAGTTAGACTGACACCCAATGTATTGTGTAATTTTAGGATTTAAATGTAAGCTTCGTTAGCATATCTACCTGAAAGGAATATTGGCTTGTTTATCTACAAATATATTCATTAAAATAATATAGAAATATTAATATATCGTTTGATTATCGAAAGCCTTGTAAAATTGTATATATATATATAGTCTATATCTACGTAAGGTTGTGTGTGGTTGTTATATGTGAAAAAAATAGGTTCTCCTTACAGTTCAGAATAAATATGAATTGAAGTCTGCAACAAGGGTCTGGTATATTTCATTTCTTACATGATTCGATTGCTAAAAAAAATGAAACTGCATTTGGTAATAAGCTGAAGAGTGAGAACTATTATACGCTGTATCCTCATGTTTGAATAATAAACTGATTTTACAGCAGCTGCCCGTCCACAAACATAAATAAAACAACAAAAAACATCGGATCCTGTGTCAAGTTCTTATGGTGATTTAATGATCCAGTGAATTACCATATTTGATTCAATAAACTAATACACTCGCAAACTAGCCAATATGAAAGCTAAAGGACCAACCAGCATAACAGCCAACACCTCAAAAGAGTGATAGGCAAACCAACTATGGAGACTAATTATACAAATTGTTCTTTGTGAGTTTGTTGTGTAAAGTATCATTTTATCAATTTACTTGATCAATTCACTGTAGATAAATATCAGAGGGGCATTCCATCCTTTTGAAAGTCAATCCTTCAGAATCGGTAATTATCAGTTTACACACACAATAGGTAATTGAAGTACACTGTACACAGCAGTCTTGTGAAATAACAAATGTAGGCTGAAGTGCTGTAGTGTATTTCACAGAAGTGTTAAGTCATGTCACAGAAGTGTTAAGTCATGTCACAGGAGTGTTATGTCGTGTCACAGAAGTGTTAAGTCATGTCACAGGAGTGTTAAGTCATGTCACAGAAGTGTTAAGTCATGTCACAGAAGTGTTGAGTCGTGTCACAGAAGTGTTATGTCGTGTCACAGAAGTGCTAAGTCATGTCACAGGAGTGTTAAGTCATGTCACAGAAGGGTTAAGTCGTGTCACAGAAGTGTTAAGTCATGTCACAGCAGTGTTAAGTCATGTCACAGAAGTGTTAAGTCATGTCATAGAAGTGTTAAGTCGTGTCACAGAAGTGTTATGTCGTGTCACAGAAGTGTTAAGTTATGTCACAGGAGTGTTAAGTCATGTCACAGAAGTGTTAAGTCACGTCACAGAAGTGTTAAGTCACGTCACAGAAGTGTTAAGTCATTTCACAGAAGTGTTAAGTCATGTCACAGAATTGTTATGTCGTGTCACAGAAGTGTTAAGTCGTGTCACATAAGTGTTATGTCGTGTCACAGAAGTGTTAAGTGACGTCACAGAAGTGTTAAGTCATGTCACAGAAGGGTTAAGTCGTGTCACAGAAGGGTTAAGTCATGTCACAGAAGTGTTAAGTTATGTCACAGGAGTGTTAATTCATGTCACAGAAGTGTTAAGTCACGTCACAGAAGGGTTAAGTCATGTCACAGAAGTGTTAAGTTATGTCACAGAAGTGTTAAGTCATGTCACACAAGTGTTAAGTCAGAAGTTTAAAACAGAAATAGACAATGTCTGCAAGACCTGATCAATGCTACATGAACGTTTGGTCCAGGACTCTGAAAAACAACTCTTAGGAGGAGTGTTAAGTCATGTCACAGAAGTGTTAAGATGTCACAGAAGTGTTATGTCGTGTCACATAAGTGTTAAGTCATAACACAGAAGTGTTATGTCGTGTCACAGAAGTGAAGTCATGTCACAGAAGTGTTATGTCGTGTAACAGAAGCGTTAAGTCATGTCACAGAAGAGTTAAGTCATGTCACAGAAGTGTTATGTCGTGTAACAGAAGCGTTAAGTCATGTCACAGAAGAGTTAAGTCATGTCACAGAAGTGTTAAGTCACATCACAGAAGTGTTAAGTCACGTCACAGAAGTGTTATGTCGTGTCACAGAATTGTTAAGTCATGTCACAGAAGTGTTAAGTCGTGTCACAGAAGAGTTAAGTCATGTCACAGAAGTGTTATGTCGGGTCACAGAAGTGTTAAGTCATGTCAAAGAAGTGATAAGTCATGTCACAGAAGTGTTAAGTCGTGACACAGAAGTGTTATGTCGTGTCACAGAAGTGCTAAGTCATGTCACAGAAGTGTTAAGTCGTGTCACAGAAGTGGTAAGTCATGTCACAGAAGTGTTAAGTCGTGACACAGAAGTGTTATGTCGTGTCACAGAAGTGAAGTCATGTCACAGAAGTGTTATGTCGTGCCACAGAAGTGTTAAGTCATGTCACAGAAGCGTTAAGTCGTGTCACAGAAGTGTTATGTCATGTCACAGAAGTGTTAAGTCATGTCATAGAAGAGTTAAGTCATGTCACAGAAGTGTTAAGTCACGTCACAGAAGAGTTAAGTCACGTCACAGAAGTGTTAAGTCGTGTCACAGAAGGGGTAAGTCATGTCACAGAAGTGTTATGTCGTGCCACAGAAGTGTTAAGTCATGTCACAGAAGAGTTAAGTCATGTCACAGAAGTGTTATGTCATGTCACAGAAGTGTTAAGTCATGTCACAGGAGTGTTAAGTCGTGTCACAGAAGTGGTAAGTCATGTCACAGAAGTGTTAAGTCGTGTCACAGAAGTGCTATGTCGTGTCACAGAAGTGTTAAGTTATGTCGCAGGAGTGTTAAGTCATGTCACAGAAGTGTTAAGATGTCACAGAAGTGTTATGTCGTGTCACAGAAGGGGTAAGTCATGTCACAGAAGTGTTATGTCGTGTAACAGAAGCGTTAAGTCATGTCACAGAAGAGTTAAGTCATGTCACAGAAGTGTTATGTCATGTCACAGAAGTGTTAAGTCATGTCACAGAATTGTTATGTCGTGTCACAGAAGTGTTAAGTGACGTCACAGAAGTGTTAAGTCATGTCACAGAAAGAAGTGTTAAGTCATGTCACAGAAGTGTTAGGTCATGTCACAGAAGTGTTAAGTCGTGTCACAGAAGAGTTAAGTCATGTCACAGAAGTGTTATGTCGGGTCACAGAAGTGTTAAGTCATGTCAAAGAAGTGATAAGTCATGTCACAGAAGTGTTAAGTAGTGTCACAGAAGTGTTAAGTCATGTCACAGGAGTGTTAAGTTATGTCACAGAAGTGTTATGTCGTGGCACAGAAGTGTTAAGTCACGTCACAGAAGGGTTAAGTCATGTCACAGAAGTGTTAAGTCATGTCATAGAAGAGTTAAGTCATGTCACAGAAGTGTTATGTCGTGCCACAGAAGTGTTAAGTCATGTCACAGAAGCGTTAAGTCGTGTCACAGAAGTGTTATGTCGTGTCACAGAAGGGGTAAGTCATGTCACAGAAGTGTTAAGTCGTGTCACAGAAGTGTTAAGTCATGTCACAGAAGTGTTAAGTCAGAAGTTTAAAACAGAAATAGACAATGTCTGCAAGACCTGATCAATGCTACATGAACGTTTGGTCCAGGACTCTGAAAAACAACTCTTAGGAGGTTTTTATGATCTGAGATTCAACCAAATCAAATGATAATGAGTGGAGTGATGACAAATAGTATCTATTTATAGGAAGAGACATTGACCTTGCAACCACAACCTTAAATATTAGAAAAATTTGAGCGCTGTACAATTGTAAATAATTCATAAAAATTAAAGGATAATGAGGCAAGTTGAGCGATGGGAAATATTCTTAACATCTTACAAACAATGACCTTGAACTTGATACAAGGGGATGGACAGACAGAATTTCAGACATGGGTAGTTATGTATGTTTCTCCATCCCATTTAATAATGGGGCATAAAATAATGACGCAAAAATAGGATACACTTTACAATGTATAGGGTATAATATTAGTTCCAATATCATTTAACGTGAGTTAATCTCTCATGGTTTAATGGGATAAGACACAGAGTTAACGTTTCATTGCTTTGGAGCAAAACTATGGATGTAAACATAGGAAGCCTGTCGCCATCTTTAAATGTATTTAAACATCAGCAGGGAAGCCATTATCTCATGTTCACATCTAAAACTAAATTCCTATTTTGTAGAAACTGTATGAGAATTATTATCCAATCTTAAAACAGCCAAGCATTCAGTTTTGAATGTAAGAATCAAATGACACAATTAATTCCCACATCTTCTGGCATTTAAAGATTGAATTAATACGGCATCAAATTCACCCTGCAGTTGTTTAAAACTCTAAGTTATCTTAATGTCAACTCAATGAACTCTCCACACTTGACTTCCCAAAGTGTGATGGTTCAAAACAACTCGGTCGTCATCACCTTGGAGCAGCCCCTGATAAAATGATTGCTTGTCCATATCTAATTTAATGTTATAGGTTTGTATAGGAAACTAAACAAAGGCCAGTTGGATATTCATTACTATTTTTTTAAATAATATTTTTAACATGAATTTAACAACCAATCCTGTACAAAGGTTTTAGGCAAATTATCATCTGTTATGCCGTAGAGACCCAATTCAAACACACTCTGAAGCAAGTCCCTAAGGCATCATAGCAATTAGATAATAAAACCGCCCTCCCAACACCCGAGAGTTCCGTGTGGTTTATGTCTGTGACATATTCCATGGGTTTGGAGTATATCCTGTTTTCATATCGTGTTTAATCAGAAACAAGATAATATCAACAAAAAAAATTCTTCAAAATTTAATATAGAAAACAATGTTGGCAACATGGAATTCTGCGTGTAATAAGCTAATTATTTCAATAATTCACACAAACACTACCCACATTCTCTAATTGTAGCCTTCAGCTATAATTCAATGCGCATGCATACATTT